TATATATATATAAATTGTTGTGATTTATCATTTCCTAACATGTCTTTTTTGTCTTTTGAAATGTGTATTAACATTGGAAACGCTTCAACAAAACATACGAAAAATATTTTCACCATCTCCCATTGTCTTATCAATTAAGCTGTGACTCATCCACATCCACTATGATTAAAACAGGCTATCATTCACACGAAACTGCTGGAGATGCAAATCAAGATGCTCAGAGGATAATGAGAGAAGAAAAGGGAAGATATGGGGGGGGGTGTAAGTTTTTCCAACCATATCTGATTGGAATGATCACCAGCTGCTGAGCGAGATGGTAAAATGTTGCACCCGTGCCAAGTCGCTGTTGCCTTCGATATTGACACTCTGCCCTGCAGTCTCTCTTAATTAGTCATTGATGGTGCGCGGCTTTTTAGGATTACAGGGTGTGTCTTTGTGTCACTACTTGCAACTTTGTTTTTCCTTTTTAGGAAGCTTTTATATTCAATTAGACATGCTAACAATACACAACTTGTTGCTCTTTCACCGAAACAGAAAATGTAGTTCTATGCCAGTGTTTGGGGGGAAAAAACGGCACGAGACGAGCTTGTTTCTCTCGCGCATACTCTGATGGAAAACTTGCCAAAACGTCATATTCTGAAAATGCTGGCATGCCAGCAATCAGCTGCTTCCTGGTAAGAGCTGCAGAAGTCTTTGATGCTGCCGTCTCTGGTATTGTCTTGTCCTAATCTTTTGTGTACCTCTCTTTGAAATAAGTGCTACAAAATAGCCCTTTTGTTGAATTTCTGAAAAATTTAAAATGCGCCCGCAGTAGCACTGTATGTTGTCACAGTCTGTTCGCTCAGTGTAGAGCTAATTTTTGATCCAGTGTGGCATACATGCAGCACTACACTCTCTCACACCCCATATGTGTCTTTAATGATAATACAAAACAAGGCTCCCTGCGGTGCAAGTCTTTGGAGATGCTCAGGCTTCAGTTGTCAGGGATGCAAAAGAAACTATAGGAGGAGGAACACACACACACACACACACACACACACTCTCAAACACACTGATTGGAAGCCTTTTTCACACTGCATGTCAGTTTGGTTTATGTAATCCGCAATACCCAGAACGGCTCAGGAGCAGTGGCTGCTGGCAGCGTACATTAGATGACACACTTTCACTTTCAGGAGGGGCTCCAGACTGTGCGGAAAACATGTGAGGCCTAGATACAGAGATAGAATCAAAGAAGAAAGCAGCACGACGTCCATGAAGTCTCTCAGTTGGTAAAATCTGTAACAACCAGCACCAACTCTTCCTTCACTTCAGCAGCCGTTCGTGCAGCGTTGTAGTAATATTTGCTTGGTCGTGTCATTTTCATTATCCTCGAATTCGGCTTAGGAGAGAGAAACTTGGAAAGTAATTAACTTTCCCAAATTTTAATGCTACAGAAGTACAAAAGCGTTAATGCAGCTGTTCAAAGACCTAATTCAATTTACTGTGCAGAAAATCAAGGCGAGCCGTCTTCAAATAAAAGTTAATATGAGTGTTTAAAAAGAGTCTTATGAGAACACACAGAACAAGGAAACAAATGTTTGATGATACGTTTCTAAATACTTCCTGGGTCGAATTTACCAGTGTGCCTCGATTTAAAGCCGTTTCCAGCCTACTTCAATGTAAGGATCAAACTCCTCTAATCCACGTCTGTGAAATCGGCCAATACAGCATCAAAGGCGGAGTACTTGTTGCTTATTGAGCTTTAATCACCCCTACTGTTTTCCAGTAGACTTGGACTAGACCAAAAACTCGCTCAAGGAATATTTTAGTAATCTTGGCTTTTCCAAATGCAATGAAGTTTTGTGTGTGCGATGCAGTGATTTCAATCCAAGATTTACACACACACAGCCAAGACCTTCCTGGAGTTAATTGATAATTTACCAAACTTTCATTTTCCCACTGAACAATTTTTATGATCTAATTCTCAGTCTCAACTGTTTGAACATAAGTATAAATCATTAAAACCAGTAAAAGGGAATATTTAACTTTAATCATGAGCCACAGTTTTTCAATTATTGTCACAGTCGGAGCGAAGCTGTAAATTAGCAGACCAAAAAAAAAAGACATGAGTGGACTAGGCCTTTGCAGTGAGTGACTTGTCACTTACACAGCTGATTCTGATCAACGATGCTCTATTGCAGAGTGACAACAGGTGGTTTTTCTTTTCAACCATGATTGTCATGTTGAAGCTGTTCTTGATTTGATGCATCTGGAGGTTTTATCCATGCTGGCAGAGAGGGACTTGGGATGGCAATGATGGTTGGTTGCCCCCCCCCCATGTTTAAGGCTGACATAT